ACGGTGCGCCGAGGACAAGACAATCCCCTGGTCACGACTTACGAGGGTCACCACAACCACCCGCGCCGCCGCGGCACACCACCATATTGAACACCACGTCCGCCGCGGCAGCAGCCATGCTGCTCTCCGGCCTGGCCACCAGCCACGACGGCGCGGCCGCGCCCACGGCCACCCGGCGGCGGCGCTGTTCCACCACTCCAGCAGCATCCCCTTACGCGTCCACCATGGCCACGCTCTCCGCCTCCGCGCCGTTCCCCACCATCACCCTCGGACTCACCCAGGCGCCTGGAGGCCTTGCCGGAGCGGCGGCCTGCTGCCCTCACGGGCTCGGGCTCCATCGCCCGCCCGGAGGAATCCACCCCGTGGTGGCCCCGGCGATGCCGTTCTCAGCACCATCGCCGCTGGCTTCGATGTTCCTCCCGCAGCGAGCGCCCACGGGGCTGCCGACGCCGACTTGGCTGGTCGCGCGGCAGCAGCAGTCGGTGATGGAGACGGTGACCGCAGCCATCGCGGCCGACCCCAACTTTACCACGGCGCTTGCGGCGGCCATCTCATCGGTCATGGCAGGAGCAGGAGCAGCGCATCAGGCTCAGCCTACTCCACGTGGAGTAATACCGGCAACGCCGGAGATCAGGCCAACGGCAGTGCGGGTGCGGCCACAGCAGGTCCGACGGCAGCCGGAGCACATGCAGCGTCTGCCGAGTCGCCTCGGTTCGCGACGCAGTCCTGCACCACGTCGACAACTTGAGGGAATTGATGAGTGCTGAGTTTGACTGTCAGAGCTCATCTATCTGCACTGCACTACGACTATTTGTAAAATTGAGTGTATTTTTATTCACATAAATGAGATATACTTGTACTATGTACAGATAAAATTTTGAAATATATACACAGTAATTTCAGCTGAACTTGGCGCGTCCAAATTCGAAGGAAAGAAGGTTTTTTTTTGAATTACACAGTACAACACAGAAGCCCACAACACGTATGCATACTCATCCTTATGAACACACGTATGCAAATCTTACCCCTATGAGCACATCCGAAAGACTGAGCCGGCAGATCTTGAGATTCACGAAGTCACCACGCTGTCGACAGAGACATCGCCTACCACTGAAAGTAAAGCGCCGTTAAATTATAGAATAAATCCAGAAAAATACGAGCACCCATGCCAAGTCGAGTACTATAACCGAGGTGAACAGGTTCTACCATAGGAAGCCCAACCAACGATCTATGATCAGTTCACTGCAATTCGAAGGAAAGAATTGATGTGCAAAGACTAATAAAAAAAGGAATGGTCAAATTCCTTGGAGCAAACTATGGACTGGACCGCCCAACTAACCGTCCGAAGTTAACGGTCCATGAAGGGCGATGACCGAGAGGCTTCGACCTTCGTGGAACTGGAACATGATTGGGCCAGGTCGACGCCGGCGCGCCAGATTAGTTGACTGTGAGCGTCGGCAAAGACGCTTAGCTCCGGCATGAGCATGACGGCACGGTGGTGTTTACCGTGTTTCCCCGCGGGTAATATTGACGCCGCCCGCCGTTCACGTTGCTGTCCCCATTTCTCAAGTAAAACGATTGTGTTCTTCCTGAGACACTAGACAAGTCTACGGCCTTGCTATTCTTGGCCCAACTTGCCTTCATCGTCCCCATGCAACAGTGGTGGAGTTTGACTAATGCCCTATTCGGGAGGTCGTATCATATCGTGGATTATTTACTGCTGGCTGGTTTGGTGTGAGAGAAAAACACTGTTTCCGGCTAGAAATTTACGATCGTTTACGAGCAAGCGAACAAGCTGTAAATTTTCAGCAAGGGTCGTCAATTGTGTATGAATTACATAAGAAATAATGGCAAGTCTTTGGTCTAGTTTAGCCTAATAAGATCTGATCATTTATCTATAAGTTAGCAAACTGAGGGGAGCCATGGCCCAGGATGGTCCCTAACTAAGCTCCATCAGTTCCATGCACGCCATGGTTGGATGGATAGGATGTCCTACTTTGCACATATCACCAAGGTTATCCAATGCTGATGTATATGGGACACATATTGTTCTTAGGGGCTAGTTTAACTTGCCTTCAACATGTTGTTATTATTCTTCTCAAGTCATAACTCATCATCATCACAGCTAGTTCACTTTCACATGCCACCTAGACCTTTAGTTGCCTCAAACACGAAATCATTTGGGTATTCATAGGTCGGGTAACTCGGGTGGAGCCCATAGTCCTCCACGCACAAGTGGATCCCCGTAGTAGTCTTTTCCTGAACCGCTCTCCCGCCATCTTCAATATGGAGCTTCTGGCTCAAACGTTGTGGGCCTCGTTCCCTCCGGTACAAGTTAAGCGGCCACGCCACAAATGTGGTGGGTGTGATCTCGCAAGATTACAAGCACCTAGTGTCAACAATGGTGGGCATAAGAGGTATGCAAACCTCATTAAACATTAAATCTAAGCCTAGAGTAAAGCGTCAATTGCAAGGTTTAACTAGCCTAAGCATTTCACAAAACACTACACTAATCACCTAATAAATCCTTAAGCACTTTTGGTGGCTAGAGCACTTGGATAGAGCCTCAACTCTCCTATATTTTCATCACACTCCAACACACTTGAAAATGTCTAGCCGAGGGGATGTGTATAGCTTCTACCCTCAAAATAGTCATTACGGCAAACCTATACACATTCATTGATCACCGGAAAGCTCTAGTGAACCCTGCCTGGGAATTTCTGGTGACCACCACATCAGCTAGCTGTTGCCGGCCGTTGGGGCTTATTTCTACGATGCACCATTTGGTGCCCCTCTAAAGCTCCTGCAGAGTCTCTGGACACCACCCTTTTCTCCGGTGACACCTTCTTTATACCACTGGAGTTTTTTTGGGCATGCTCAAGCTCTCTGCAGAAACAGTTGCCCACTGTTGGCCTTGGAACCTATGCTTAGGTGCTGACTAATCAACACCACCGAAGAAATTCGATGAGTGCTAAGATGATCGGATCAATTGGGATTCCTCTGAACCCTATTCTCCGATGCCTCTGCCAGGGTACCACTGGAGAATTCCATCGACTCTAGGTAGAGCCGATTTAGCTCTGTTTCTTCATGTCTTCTCGTCCGAGCTTTTCCTAACTGATGTCTTGACTTCTTGCAAGTCTTTAATAGCAGCACTAATATCTTGCTTGAGGTGTTGATCATTCGATTTTCACGTTGCCTTTGTCCAAGCCATCCTTGTATCCAAACGAACTAAATACCTTGTATAATAGCAAACCATATTACACTACTATACAAATGATTTTGCGAGACGATGTCTTTTTATTAACCGAGGCATTTACAAAATCCAACTGCCTCGGTTAATACATGGGATTAATGGAGGCGGTCATTTTCATTAACCGAGGCGGTCACAATTAACCGTCTCGCAAAATCGATTTACAAAGGCGGTTAAAAAATAACCGCCTCCAAAAATGCCTCCATTTTCAGAGGCGAGCCACTTATAAGGCCTCCCTTAATGTACCCAAGCCCACTCATAGTCCATCTCGGCCCATCTTGGTCCAACGACAACGTCATAGTATATGTATGAGATGAAACCACAACCCATCTCCAATCCCTCACTCATCTCTCTCACATAGTGCCTCTCCTCCCTCCCCCGAGCCCAAGCCCACAGCGCCGACACCTCTCCCTCCCTCTCCCATGCCTCCCTCTCCCTCTCCCTCTCCCTCACCCAAGCCCAAGCCCACAGCGGATCTGGAGGTCGGAAGGAAGAGCTCGAGGGCGCGGCATCCCGACCTCGCCCCACCTCCTTCGTGACGGTGCCCCTCCTCCCCCACGCCCTCCTCCTCTGCAATGGCGCCCCTCCTCCCCCATGCACCCGATCTGGTGGTGGAGCGGCTGGATCTAGCAATCCGTGCTCTCGGGCGGCGGATCCGGTGGTGGAGCGACCAGATCCGGCCGCCGTGCTCCCCAAAGAAGTGGATATGGTTCTAGAGGCACGGATCTAGTGGTGGTGCTACGGATCCAAAGCAGCAGAGGCACGGTGCAGGCTCGGCCCTTCTCTGGAGGTGGCGGGTGCTCAAATCCATGAAGCGGCAAGTGGTGGCACGCACATCCAATGAGTGGCGGCGGCGGCCGTGGATGGGCTCACTGGCTTGTCCACGGGTTTTTTTTTTTTTTGTTTTTTGTTTGATTTACCAAGACGGGCATTTGAACCGCCTCGAAAGATTTATTTATCATGATCTTTCACCAAGGTGGTTGTGATACCGCGTTAATCCATTATGCCCGCCTGTTAAGTTTACAGTAGTATTGTTAGTCCATTTGATCATGCTATCAATCAACCACCAATCACATATGGCCCTAGTTAGGTGCCATTTTCCTTACAGGTGCTAGACTGCCATCTCTAGAGGGTCTGACTAGATGATATACAACCATACTACTACAGAATCGATTTTTAGGGGTGGCTCGTAACCATTTGTAGGGGTGGTTTGGCCAGCCGCCCCTACCAAACCGTCTCTACAAATCATGCATTTGTAGGGGCGGTTCCCAGGCTGCCCCTATAAATTGATTTGTAGGGGCGGCTCATATTACCAGCCGCCTCTACAAACAGGTTTTTGTAGGGGCGGTTCAATCTAAAATCGCCCCTACAGTACGTTTTTCCGCAAAAAAAATTCAAATTTACAATTCAAAATCGCGTTGCCGAACGTCCCGCGACCAACGTTCCGACCGCATTCGTGTTACCGAACGCCCCACGACCAACGTTCTGAACCACGTTCGCGTTGCCGAACGCCTCACGACCAACGTTCTGAACCGCATTCACGTTGCCGAACGCCCCGCGACCACGACTACAAGCACAAGAGTATTCTGTAAACTACAATTACAAGTCCAATTCACAAGAATATATACAATCCATCATTAAATATACAAATTCCATATATATTCTTATCAACGTCCTAGAGCTAGCCTTTCAGTCTCACGAAGGTGTTGGTACTGAGGATTTGTACCTAACTCAGACTCTCGGTCATGGTAGACGCCTCTGACGTGTACAATCTGGTCCAATATGAAGTTGCAAAGGTCGCCGACGAGCTCTAAGAGTTGGTCATCCTTGTAGGGGTCTCTTTTCATTCCTTTCTCTTCTCTCCACTACAAGAGAACAAGTTTCGGTTTAGTATTTCATACCATGTACGAAGTTTTTATACTACGGGTGAAGAGGTTCAAACTTACCCTTAAGGGGTGTCTCCTGTAGGCACCGATGTTACTCATCATAGAACATATATAGTATCCACAATGTACACTCCCAGACCTCTGCTTGGGGCACTGTGTGTTTTGCATATGAAAATGTTAAGTAATGCTTTTGACAGCCATGTAACGGAGTACTGAAGAAGTAAGTTACACTTAAAAAAAAGTGTGGAATAACATTTTCTTACCTTCTACAACCTCTCCACCAAAGGATTTGAGACCAAAACCTTCCCCCCTTAGTAGAGCAATTTTTGGGAGGTGCCCAAGGCCTCCTCACCTTTCTTTCACGGGTTGAAGTGAGTGACCCGAGGAGAAAGAAGGTGCTGCAGCTGTTTTATATGTGAGTCATTTATAGGGGCGGCTGGTGATTGAGCCGCCCCTACAAATCGAAGCTATTTATACGGGGGTCATTTGTAGGCGGTTTACTCAATCACCACCGCCTACAAATAGAATCGCCGAGGCGGTGGTGAGTGAGCCCCCCCTACAAATCAGACCCATTTGTAGGGCAGCTCGCTTCCCCAAATGACCAGCCCTCGCTGTTCCATTTGTAAGGGCG